AAGTGAGCTGACTTTGTAAGTCTGTCAATAATCACCCAAATTGAGTCCTTTTTCGAAGGAGTCATAAGTAAACCAGTAACAAAATCCATAGTAATACGCTCCCATTTCCATTCAGAAATCTTGATAGGTTGTAACAAACCTGATGGATGTTGATGTTCCGCCTTAACTTGCTGACAAGTCAAACACCTCGCCACAAAATTCGAGATGTCCTTCTTCATGCCGACCCAATGATACCTCTCTCTCAAATTCCGATACATCTTATCTCCATCGGGGTGCATAGCATATGGACTACTATGAGCCTCCGTAAGTATAGTCTGCCTCAACTCGGCATCATCAGGCACACAATACCGACCTTTGAAGCATAAAACTTCATCCTGATCAAGGGCGTAATCTGAGCTTGTCCCTTGCTCTACTTGCTCAAAGATTGAAAGCAATGAGCTATCAATGGGCTGCTTAGCTTTGATCTCATCAACCAAGGTCGGTTTAACTTGTAATTCTGCTAACAGAGTGTCATCGTCATATAAATTCATCCTGGCCATTAAAGATCTCAACTCTGTTACCGCCTTTCGACTCAAAGTATCCGCTACAATATTAGCTTTACCAGGGTGATAATCAATCACGCAATCATAATCCTTTAGAAGCTCTAGCCAGCGTCGTTGTATCAAATTAAGCTCCTTCTGGGTCAGAAAATACTTTAAACTCTTATGATCCGTGAAAATGAAACACTTCTCTCCATAAAGATAGTGTCTCCAAATCTTCAAGGCAAAAATCACTGCTGCTAACTCCAAATCATGAGTAGGATAATTACACTCATGCGGTCGCAGCTGACGGGATGCATAAGCCACTACCTTACCTTCCTGCATTAGAACACAGCTGACGGAACACCCGATTCATCAAATCCATGAAAGCTGTAGGAGCATTCGTCAAACCAAAAGGCATCACTAAGAATTCATAATGACCATATCTAGTACGAATGGTCGTCTTTACAATATCAGATCCTTTAACTTTCAATTGATAATACCCCGAACGAAGATCAATCTTAGAGAATACAGTAGTTCCTCGAAACTGATCAAATAAGTCATCAATCCTGGGTAGTGGATATTTATTCTTGACCGTCATATGGTTCAACTTCCGATAGTCAATACATAATCTTAGCGACCCATCATTCTTTTTCACGAACAGAACTGGAGCTCCCCATGGTGAAGTACTATGCCGAATAAATCTTCGATCGAATAATTCTTGCAATTGGGCCTTCAACTCCTTAAGTTCTTTTGGAGCCATGCGATAAGGTGCCATAGAAATAGGTGCAGATCCCGGATAAGTCTCTATCTCGAACTCTACCTCTCTATCAGGAGGTAAACCAGGCAACTCCTCTGGAAAGACATCATGAAACTCGCTAACTGTACGGATCTCTTCGATCGTGGACAATGAACCTTTAGTGTTCAAAATACAAGCAATGAAAGTCTCATATCCCTTCCGGATCATACGATCAATTTCCATCGCTGAAACTATATTGGAGAGATAGCCACACCGTTCACCAATTAACACAACAGTCCGACCATCTGAAGTCTTTAGAGTAGCCCGCTTGTATTCGCAATCCAGATTTACCTTGTGTTTATTCAACCAATCCATCCCAAGAATTAGATCAAACTCCTCTAAAGGAAGCTCCATAAGATCAGCGAGAAAAATTTCTCCCTGAACCTCGAGAGGACAACGCCAAAATAATTTATTCACTAATACCGCTTGTCCTACTGGACTCGTAAATGTAACAGTATTTTCAGTGTTCTCGATCGGAATCTGAAGGTTTAGAGATACCAAGCTCGATATATAGGAGTGAGTAGAGCCATTGTCTAGTAATGCAAAGTATGTGATAGAATAAATAGTAAATGTACCTGCAATAACCTCAGGCTCATCTCTGTCATCCCGACGTCTAGTGGCATAAACCAAAGCTGGCTGTCTAGCCTCAGAAACTGTTGGCCCTCTATTTTGCTGAGGTCGGGCTCTACTGTCAGTCTTGGATGCTGAACCACGAGTCTTTCCTTGACTACGATCTCTAATTGGGGTCTGTACTGTAGTCTGAGAACGCACATGAGTCTGGGTAGCGGTCTGCTCAAACGAAGCTAGCTGAGGACAATCCCTCCGAAAATGACCACTAGATCCAAACTGATAGCAAAGACCCATCTTCTTACGACACTCTCCTGTGTGTTGTTTACCACAAAACTCACAGAGAAACCCATGATAATACGATGAGGAACCGCCTTGACTGCCAACTAACGGTGAGGATGCTGCAGGCCTGAAACGTGTATTGCTTCTCTGAGGGACTGAAGTACGAGTCCTTTTTCCGAACTGTACTGATGACTCAATAGGGCCTGAAAATTTCTTAGATCGTTAATATTCAACACGCTCTCTACCAGAAGCTAAAACCTCCACCTCTTCAGCATCTTTGGCTCTGCCCACCAGCACATCAAATATCTCATCCTGATGGGTTACAACTTGCCTACGCAGCTCGTATCTGAGTCCAATGGCAAATTTACGACATCTCTCTCTCAGTAGGTACCATACTGAATCCATACTTCAGCAACTTCAAGAACTCGATTTCATACTCAGAAACAGTCATGTCTCCCTGAACCAGGTCTTGAAACTGTTGACGTCTCTGAGCTAAGTAGCGCTCTCCCAGAAAACGACTCCGAAAGCGATCCTTAAAGAAATTCCAGGTCAAACGATCGGTAGGAACACTACTGGTCACTGACTCCCACCAAGTGTAGGCATTGCCATCTAACATCACCACAGCACCCTGATATCTCTTAGTTGAGTCTAAACCGAACTGATCCATGCGTCTCTCTGTATCATGGAGCCAATCCTCAGCTTCAGTAGGAGCTCCACCAATCTGTCCCCTAAAAGTTCTAACTCCATTGGCAATCAAAGTCTGCGAAATAGGAACCTCTGATACAACACCAGTAGCTCTGACTGCTCCCTGTATCAACTGCAGAAATTGTCTACCAAAATTCTCATCCAAAGCAACTCCGGTAGACTCTGACTCAATATCGTTCGCTCCTATGATCGGTGTAGTCATGGCAATACCAGCGGCAGGAGGCAGATTCGTTGGGGTCGTAGGAGCAGGATCACCTATCGGAGGTGGGGGATCTACTTGTATCTCATCGATCGGGTCTGCAAATCTAGCCACTCGACCTCGTCCACGGCTAGTTCGACGACTATGTCTAGCACTCATTTTTTTTGTGGATCTCGAGTTTACTATAAGAGATAAAACTTAGGGTTAGACAATCACTTAGAGTCTCGAACACAGTTAAAATCTTAATAACTTGTGGCATGGCCTTAGTAACTTGTTTTGTAAAATATTTCTAAAACCGTATTTTCAATTTGGACTCATACACAGTTCGTGGTTTAAAAACCAAAAGCTATGATACCAATAAATGTGACCCCCTAGACCTGGCCTATGCGTTTCGACTAAGTCTAGTGGATCACATTATGATTCTTAAAGACATTTTTTGAAACTGTTATTCAATCAATGTAAAATCACATTATAAATGTCATGAAATAAATTATACCATCAAAACCCAACTTGTAAATATAATACCAATAAGTAATAAATTAATTTAAAATAGGTCTTCAAAATCAAAATCACAATAAATCGAACAGTAATAGCAAAAGTGTCATCATCCTAAAATACGATACTTTAAAATAAAGTCCATGTCACCAAAATAAAGTCAACTAGCAAGATAAAACATTACAATCAGATATACTTCAAGAGATATGTTGATCCTCAACTGCTCGAACCGATGTATCTAACCAACAGTATCTGAAAGGGGGAAAAACATTTTCGAAAGGTGAGCTAGGCTCAGTGTGTCCCAATATTACCTTAAAATCACAATAGGTACATTAAACAAATCATAGTCCAGTAAATCTCATAAATTCATAAAAGAGTTTAACTTTTGAAAATCATAGTTTAAATTCTTTTCTTGTACACCATCAGTAATTTCCAAAACTATTTTCCATATAGCTTACTCTAAGCACACAGCAAAAAGAAAGCCAACCTAAGGATAAGCTTTAGAGCTTGTATCCTTAAGCTCGTAAGTCCAAGTCCATATAGCTTACCCTAAGCACACAGCAAGGGAAGCCAACCTAATGTATCTTGGGGCCCCAAGAGTCACATTAGGCCCATTCTGTTTATTAGCTTGATCAGAGCTATACTATTGTAATTCAATCCAAAAGTTCAATTGCACCGTGACACAAATTCCATAAATCATCACATTAAATTGGTGCATCAATAAAACAGTAACCAAAGAACTCAGTGTACCTCATATTAAAACCAATAAAACAGTTCAGTAATAATTAGGGAACACACCTCGATAATAGGTTCAAATTTTTGAACGGCGGAGAGCTCGATTTTAACTCGGCTGAATCTTTGACTGCTCCACCTCCTCACGCGCCGCCGTCGACGGAGACCAAGGTTGACACCGGCGGACTCGAAACGGCACAAGGAACACGATGGTGCAGGAGGTGTCGTAAACGGAGCAACGATCGGCGGTGAATTTGAGATTTTCCCGGAGATAGAGCTAAAAAAAGGTCGAAGCTTTGACTTGAAATTCTCGACGTTTGGCAGCGTTTCGCTTCAATTGGTTTACTGGGATTTGTTCACGAGTCGAAGATGAACACGATGGTGGTTTCAATTTGACGGTTGGAGGTCGGACGACATTGGAATCAGGCTTTGAAGTAGAGTGCAGGAGGAGGAATTTCACAATTGTTTTCTGTTTTGAAAACAGAAAACCATACATACGTATATATCAAATTTCCTGCCGACATTAAAAGGAGTAATTCAGAGCTTGGTCCCTAAATTTCCTTCACTTCCAATATTTCCTACAAGTTTTGAAAACTTTTAATTTAATCCCCAAATTTCACCAAATTACACCGATTTAAATTGTTTTTTAGGGTTGTTACATTCCTCCCTTGTAATGATGAAGATGTTTATTGGTTCATGAAAAAGCTTGAAGACACACCCGAAGACATGAAATCCGTGGTGGAAAAAACCGAGCTAGATAGCATTGCATCATCCCCATTAAGATACAGAAGACCTTGGGAGCTTCTATGGGGAAATATCAGCAAAGGCAATGTTTGTGTAGCCGGCGACGCCCTTCATCCCATGACTCCGGACCTCGGACAAGGCGGATGTTCGGCCTTGGAAGACGGCGTTGTTCTGGCAAGGTGTCTTGCCGAAGCGTTATCGAAACCAGCTGGGGAAGAAATCAACGAAGGAGAAGAACATAAGAGGATTGAAATGGGGTTGAAAATTTTCGCTCAAAGGAGAAGATGGAGAAGCTTTGATCTCATTACCACGGCTTATATGGTGGGTTTTTTACAGCAAAGTAGTGGGATGATTATGAACTTCTTGAGAGAGAAATTCTTTTCTAGATTCTTTCCTGGAATGCTGTTAAGAAAGGCTGGTTTTGATTGTGGCAAGTTGGAGTATTGATTAGTGCATTTGTTTGAATGCTGTTAATTTTACAAAAATAAATAAATATCTTTTTAATATTTTTTTAAATTAATTTTTTTTAATCCTCAATTTTAGTTACATTTAAGTTAAATATTAGTTTAATTTAAAATATGATAATCATATGAATTGATTTAGTGGTTATGTATTAGATTAATTTTCTAGTCGTTGTAGATTTAATTTACTTTAATACCATCTTGATATAGTTTTGATCTTATTTAATGCAAGTAATATATAGTTTCTTTATTTTATTTAATTAATAAAATAATGATATGTTTCATCATTTAATTAATTTTAAAAAATTATTAAAAATTTATGAACCTAATAGATAAAAAATGAGGTGAAAAATAAAATATATGTATATTTAAAATTAAAATTAATTTTATAATTTTATTTAAAAACAATTTGATAATCGAAGTAGAAAATATCTAATTAATTTTTATAAAATTAGAAATACACGAGGGCAGAAGACGGGAGTTAGCACAATGATAGGCCTTGGCCCAATAAAATTTAATTGGGCTCTCTTGACCATTTTCTATAATAAAGACAATCGTTTTCCACTATTTTTTTTTTTGCTTTCTTCGACTCCTCTCTCTCTCCCTCCCCAGACCTACAGCTGAAGAAACTGAAAAGTGAAAACCTTAATCCTCTACAGGCGCCGCTCTTGTTTCCTCTAAATCCAGCTCTTACTTTCGCGAATCAAAGGTTATTTCTTTTCACTTTCACTTTTAATCTTTAAGCATCTGCATAAAAAAAATTGCACCCTTTTTCCCCTTATTTTTTTTATGTTTTGTTTCAATTTGCAATTGTTTCAGATTCTAAGAAAAATGACTCAAGATGTGGAGATGAAAGAGCAACCAGTTCCTTGCAATTCCGTTACCTCCTCTTCTTCCTCCACTCTGCATCGTAAGTTCAACCAAACTATGTTTGACGCTTTGCTGTAGAATTCTGATTTACTTTTTCAAATGTTTTATGAACTGGGAATTTGTGGATTCTCTCGGATTTGAATGAAAATTTCCGGGTTTCTTTCAGATTTGAAGGAAATTGCGTCTCTGATAGAGACCGGTGCATATGACCGTGAAGCTCGCCGTATTTTGCGAGCTATAAGACTTACTATGGCTTTAAGAAGGAAGCTGAAGGTGTCTGTGCTGTCCTCGTTCCTCAGTTTCGCTCTTGCCCCTGGATCCGAGGTCCTTACTCGGCTTTCTTCTTATCTTCCTAAGGTAATCTTTTGATTGCTGGTTGCAATATTCAATCCAGGTGGATTGCTTCTTCCTTTTTAACCCGTGTCATGTTTGGTGCCAGTGGTAAAGTGCTTGGCTAGTTTAGACCTGAAGTCTTAATTAATAACATAGGAATACGTTCTGAAGAAAGAAAAGAAATGGTCGTATCATTGAAGTTAATTTTTGGTGGTTGGTCTGTATTGATTCTCTATTGTAAGATATGATGGTTTTTCGCCGTTGTTACCTTCACCAGTTTAGTAGGTATTCTAGTTCCAAGTTCAATGAAATGCATTGGTCTCTAATCGTCGTGTATCAAGTCTTGCATTGGTTGATCTTTTAAGAACTTGACTGTTGAATTTCTTTCAGGAAGATGAGCAGGAGATGGAAATCGACACTGCAACCTCTGCTGCTCAACCTCCTGCTAAGCATTCCCTGCCAGAGCTAGAAATCTACTGCTACTTGCTTGTCCTGATATTTCTGATTGATCAAAAGAAATACGATGAGGTACATTAGCAAATAACTTCATCAGGAAGTTTCGTGCTTCTTTGTACATAATGTTCTCTCTTTTCAGGCAAAGGCATGTTCCTCTGCTAGCATTGCTCGGCTGAAGAATTTGAATAGGAGGACACTTGATGTCCTAGCTTCTAGGCTGTACTTTTATTACTCTCTTTGCTATGAACTCACGGGTAATCTTGCTGAAGTTAGGAGGTAAGCTATACCACAGTCAAATTTGATTTTATCATATGTACGCTTAAGTATATATTCTAATTAGCATGATGTTTAATTGACAGTAACCTTCTAGCCCTGCACCGTATTGCAACATTGCGCCATGATGAGCTGGGTCAGGTAAATTTTTAACCATCCGAGCAATTATATTTCTAATACTAAGGTCTTATATTTAAATACTGCTCTCTTGTAGGAGACGCTTCTTAACCTGCTACTTCGCAATTACCTCCATTACAATTTGTATGACCAAGCTGAAAAACTGAGATCAAAGGCACCCAGATTTGAAGCTCACTCAAATCAACAGGCAAGTAACTAGTTTTGCTATCTTTTAGTCTTTGAGCATCAGATCCCATGAGCCCAGAATATTGCTCACTTCATTTCAGGAAACGGAACTGTATGTTTATGGTTATTTAACAGTTTTCTGTATGTTCGGCTTGGCTTTTTATTATGGTTATAGCTATAAAACAATTATTGTTAGCTTTCTTATCCTAAGACGAAGTTTACCCTCTGCAGTTTTGTCGATACCTCTTTTACTTGGGGAAGATCAGGACAATCCAATTGGAGTACACTGACGCCAAAGAGTGTCTCCTCCAAGCTGCTAGGAAAGCCCCTGTCGCAGCCCTTGGTTTCCGGGTCCAATGCAACAAATGGGCAATCATTGTCCGATTACTACTAGGAGAAATCCCCGAGAGGACTGTTTTCATGCAGAAAGGCATGGAGAAGGCATTGAGGCCCTACTTTGAACTGACAAATGTAAGTTAAGATTTTGTCCTAATTATTTATAGGGAACCAAGTCTGATATTTCGATCATGTCTTTACTAGAAAGAAAAAGAGGAGAGTCATGTTTTACTATGTGTCATGTTATTTAAATTAAAGATTAGCACAAAAAAGAGTTATAATCATTTGAATTGCCTCTTTGGTTTCAGTGGTTCCTAATTTTTACCAACAGTTTTGAGAACACAAAATGTTGTGTGTATTTTCAGGCTGTCTTCATTGGGGATTTGGAGCTTTTCAGATCTGTTGCTGAGAAGTTCTCGAGTACTTTCAGTTCAGACCGGGCCAATAACTTGATTGTTAGGCTGCGGCATAATGTCATTCGGACTGGGCTACGCAACATAAGCATCTCATATTCTCGCATCTCACTGGCTGATGTTGCCAAGAAGCTTAGATTGGACTCTGTTGCTGATGCCGAGAGCATTGTAGCTAAGGCAATCAGAGATGGAGCTATCGATGCCACATTGGATCATTCAAATCAATGTATGCTGTCTAAGGAGACGGGAGACATCTACTCCACGACTGAGCCTCAAACGGCATTCAACTCTAGGATTGCTTTCTGCCTCAATATGCATAATGAGGCGGTGCGTGCGCTTCGGTTCCCACCAAACTCACACAAGGAGAAAGAAAGTGCCGAGAAGAGGAGAGAGAGACAACAACAGGAGCAAGAGCTTGCAAAGCACATTGCAGAGGAAGACGATGATGAGTTCTAACAAAGGGTGACGACGCGAAAAGGCTATTTATCCACCGTATGATTGTTTCATGGTGTATTTTACTTTTAAATGCTTTAGTAGAATTCTTTTGCTTCTCTTTTCACGATGGCTACTATGTCCATTGAGTACATTGCTTTACAATGGTCACTTTGGAGTTGCACTTGTGTTTTTTACCCTTGATTTTTAGTTTTTATTCCTTGATAGATCTTGAGGTATAACCTTTTTTTTATAAAAAAAATGTGACGTCGTTGAGATAAGCTGAAGCCGACCCATCATCATTTCATGATACGGCAAATGGGAAGAAGGTTACCTCTCTTTTCCCTTTTAAAAAACCTCCTAAAGTCGTCCTATATTTACCTCAGACCGATAAACATATTATACTATAGATTTGGATTTTTATTTTTAAAGAAATTTAAATATTCTATATTAAGACTTGAGATTTTGTTTTTTTTTAAATGGACATTATATTCATATTTAAGAAAATTAAAAATTTCAAGGTCCAACACAAGTACGTTGCATACAACTCTTCATTTCATCGGCTGGCTGCCATTTACTTGGAGCTTTGAATCCGTCACTTTCTGAAAAGCCCCTCCATCAATACAAATTTTATATATTGTGAGAATTTATTTAGGGATATCGATAATTAAAAGAAAAAATTATTTTTTATTGAGATTTTAAGTTCGAAGATATATGTATATTATTAATAATGTGATATTGATTTAAAATATAACATGATATGTTTATTTGACTCATTATAATTTGAAAATTTAAAATTATTATATTTAATAAATTAATAGAATATAAAATAAGATCGAGTTAAACACAGTAATTTTTTTATGAGATGCTAAATTTTTTAAGTAAGGTAAGGGATTCGAATCCTGGCGTTTGCGAATGAAGTAAACTGGGTTGGGAGGGTTATCTTCGCCTCTATAGTATCTGATCTGGATTAGTAAGTCAATAGATCGAATATCAGTGACTAGTTCAAAAAAAATTAATTATTTTTTAAGTTATAATAAATTGAGTGAGCATGACATATCATGTAAATTATCGAGCCATATATTAAATTGACGTTATATTATTTAATTCACTTCATTCAATTGTTACAAAAAGTTAACAATTCTAACACAAATGGTTAAAAGCTCTTAGTTAACATCTTTCTTTTTCTCTAGGTTGTGGGTTCAATACCCATTAGGAGTAAAATTTCTTTTCCCCTCTCCTAAATAGAAATCGTTACAAAAAGATATTATTTTACTATATTTTTTCTAACATACATTTCCTTATTTTGAAAATATAAGGATCAAAATGTAATTTTATATTATAATATAGGTACATGTGCAATATCACACTTTCCAAGTGAATTTTTGTTGGTCTTTAATTTTTTTATTAAGCTAAGACCGTTACAAGGATAATATATATGTTCTAAATACTTTCAACAATTTAACAATGAACATCCAATCACCCTTGTAATCGCTGGTGCCTGAATCTATGACCTCTAGCAACAACAATTCCTTGACCATTTAGGTAATTTGATTTGTGTAAAATTGTGATTTTTCAATTTTTCTATTTATTAATATAAGTCATCGTACTAATGGTCATACTATTATAGGTAAGTTTTAGTTAGGTTAATCGAGTTTAAAATGTTACAAACTGATCACTAGAGTTATCGGAAATTACAAAATAATATTAATTGTTAATTTTTAACAAATTAATTCTCAACATTTAATATGATCATAAATGGAGATGAAAATCTCACTTCATCAAGGGCTATTTGCAATCAAATTATAATAAGAAGAACTTACACTTGAAATTAAAGGCGACCCAAATCCTAACTCTACAACGTGATCACTTTTCATCGATGGCAAGGATGGTGTAGGCAAAGGAATTCATATTTAAATGTTAAGGGTAAATTTTGTTATAATTAAGATTAAATTAAAATAATATATAAACATTGAATGATAAATTTATTAATATACCACCTCTATTACTACATTAGCTTCTCTCCGCACACACCCAGTCAGGGATCATTTTACAATTTTTGATAACATGAGTGATTAATGTGTAATATTTTAAATTTAGATGATCCAAATGAAAATTGATGTATAGTTAGATGACTGTCTAGTTATTTTAACCAATAAATTTTACTACGAGGCCTAGGTAGTTGAGGACTCTACGTGGCCCAGGCAAAACGCCCAATCCATGGTTTAATTGAATAAGAATTGTCCTAAAAACAAATTCAATCAGAATTTCTGAACAACAATAAATAGGCATGTAAACGAACCGAACGCACACGAATGGAGGTATGTTCATGTTCGTTCATTTAATAAATAGACGAACATAAATGAACACGAACATAAACGAACAATTTTTTGTGTGTTCATGTTTGTTTATTAAGGAATATAATTTGTTCATGTTCGTTCATTTAAAAAATAAACGAACATAAACGAACACGAACATAAACGGACACGAACATAAATGAACACGAACATAAACGTTGGAGACCCTACCTTCCATTTTTCTTTCATGAAAAATAGTCGACAATGCAAATCAACCAAATCTACAGTGATAAATAGCGTAAGAGTTTATTAGCAGTGATGAAATATTTGAAGATATCAAATATTTCGATCGATCTTTTAAAGATATTAAATGATTTACACAACTTTAATTTAACGCTATAACATTTATCTTAGTGATCCATGATTACATATGAATAATCATTTTCCGCTATTACACTCTTTTTCAGAAATTGCATAGAAACATTTGTTTTGTTTTCTGACAAATTCTATATATTTTTCTCTTTATTGATGCTCATATACTTCCGATTGTTACCTTTATCTTCCCATCTATTTCTAGAAAGACGTATGACGTTTTTTGAGTTTTAGATGTGAAGATACCTGCAATAACTTTTCATATCAACTATTAAGCCAAATAAAACTGAGAAAGAGATGAAAACAGACATGTAAAACTTCATATTGCACTATAATATAACTTGTTTTGAAGCTTTCAACGATCGTCTCCACTCTCTAGTGAACACTAGGGTTTGGGAAAAAAAAGGGGGAAATGAATATAGGTGCGAGGTGTCTCACAGGTTAACATATTGGATTTAATCTCCAAATAAAATTGGATTAATTAATGAGTTGGTCATCAGAATATCAGATTAATTAATATTTTTAAGATACTTACAAATTGGTCACCAAAATTGATTTAAGAATATTGGGTTAAACATAAATGAATGAACATAAACGAACATAATCGAACGAACATAAACGAACATAATCGAACGAACATAACCGAACGTTCACGAACGTAAATGAACGAACGAGACCTATGTTCATGTTCGTTCATTTAATTAAACGAACAAAAAATCTTGTTCATGTTCGTTCATTTAATAAATAAACGCACATAAACGAACTTCCTGCCGCACGATTCATGAACGGTTCGCTGAACGTTCAGTTCATTTACAGGCCTAACAATAAATTTACAAAATTTCAAAAGCATTGATCCAAACAAAACCCTAGCCGAAGAGGAAAAAGTTAAAAGCGATTTCAGGAATTTCTTAATCAGGTTCGTCTCTCGCTCTTCAAAATATTTTTTTTGTGTTTTCGAAATTTCCCTGCTTCGCGTTCTCTAGGGTTTATTGGGGTTTAGTTAAGTTAAATTCTAAGAAATCACGATGGATGAAAGTTCCATGTTATTCGAATTAGTACAATTATATAATCGAATGAAGGGACAAAGTTGACGCTTTTGGACGTTAATTTTTTTTAATCAATTTCAATTGCTTCTTAATTTTTGTAATCAACAATTGCAAGCTTTTCATCAATGGAAACCATGTGTATATTCTTGTTGTAAGAATGAATTTAGTAGTATATTAGGTTTTGTTTTTTTTTTATTGAATCTAATTTAATTGGAATCGGGATTTTTCTTAATTTCCTAAGTTTATTTTTCAGATAAAATCTAGAGAAAATAAAATGGATGAGCGAGGAGTGCACCCAGATTGTATCAATGCATCGAATCCATTTCATGAATGTGTTGAATATTGCTTTCGGAAGATTGCTGAAGCCAAGGCGAGAAAGGATAAATCAGAGACAGGTTTAAATGTCGTGCTTGTAACCCCTAACTTAATGGTTTAGCGTACCCTGCCTTTTCCTTGACAACTCGTTAGACTGTTTAGCTTTAATAGTTCAATTGCACTGTATGTTTTGATAGAAACTCTGTAACATGAGCGTGGCCAGCCTGATTCACCTGCTGCTTATCAAGAAGATGTGCAACGTAGTGTTACAGAACCAGAAGAGAACCCTGATGATGATGGTGATGACGCTGTCGAGGAGAACTTTGATGTAGACATTACAAATCTTATAGGCAGACAGAAAAAACTATTCGAGTTGAGGCTAAAGACGGTTAGTTTGATTGATCTTTCAAAACAAAAACTGATATGTTTTGTCATCTATTTATCTTGACATCAAGTTTCGTTAAAAGTAATCACTGATAATTAGTTATGACTATCTGCTTCCAGAATGAGGCAAGAAAAGCTAATCAAACTGCAATGGTGGCTGAAAAGAAAAGAATGGAAGCTCCTCCGGAATCTAGAGGAATTTCTAAACAAAAATGGCTGGACGAAAGGAAGAAAAAGATAGGAAAACTTCTAGATGCTAATGGTTTGGATTTGCAAAAGGCATATATGCTAGATACCCAAGAAGCAGCTGAGGCAAAATATAAGAAATGGGAAAAGGATCCTGCCCCATTTGGTTGGGATGGTATGATTCAAACTACTACTTGTCATGTTTACTTTTTTCTTCCATTAATCTGGTTCTTTCCTCCTGCTTATGCATGCATATCCCAACTTGTAATATTGTAGGCCAATAAAACTTGTCCACTGCATTCTCATCCATCTTTTGACTCTAACCTTGTTTGAATTTCAAAGTTGCATATATTTGGCAAAAGAAAAGATCATATACGGTTATACCTTCCATAGAATAGAGAATCTTACCATGTCAAAGAGCTGAATCTATGTTTTTTTCATGGAGGGACTTAACAGTCTTCAATCAGAAGACGTTGTATAACGCATACAAAAAGCGGACAAAGAACATTGATATTGACCTGGAAGAATATAACAAAATGAAAGAAACAGATCCAGAGTTCTATCGTGAAGCTTCAAGCCTCCAATATGGAAAGGTATGATCTTAAGAAGTAGAGGAAAATGTTGCTTGTTTATTTGGTACTTCCTGGCCCATGTTTTTTATGTACTATGCATTGCTTTTGGTGAGCAGGCACCTAAGCTTTCAGAAGATAAGATTGACAAGGTGGTGAAGGAACTGAAGGACGGGGACGATAAGCGCAAGTCATTTAGCCGGAGGAGGAAGCTTCATGAAGAGAAGGATATTGATTCAATCAATGATCGCAATGAGCATTTCAACAAGAAGATTGAACGAGCGTTTGGAAAATACACACTGGAAATAAAAAATAATCTCGAACGAGGAACTGCATTGCCTGATTAAGGTATATTGTTCGTTGCTATGCTTTTCTTCCAGTTGAGCAAGCGTTAAGCCTGACTTTTGCTTGCGCTCACAAATCCATAAATATATTTGGAATGTATTTTTCAAGGATATCCAACCTATCTTTATGGTTTGACTGGATTATACCTTCTCCAGTGCTGTTTTAGGTATACCTGCCTGCAAATGTATCTGATATTCATCTTTCGATTGTCGATTATTAACCTTTATTTCTCACTGGCTTGATTATTAACCTTTATTTCTCACTGGCTTGCTTGCCTTCATAGATCTGTATGACTGTATGTATGGGCTGTATTTCATAGATCTTCAACTCGGCCTTATGGTTAGACTTCACATTGTGAGGGGCTATAGGTATCTGATTAATATTAGGGGTGAGTATTTGATCGAGTCGAGTCAGAAAACTTTGAGTTATTCAAATTGACGAGTTCTATTTTATAACTCAAACTTTATTTGAAAATTTTCAAAGTTGAGTTGTTTGAGTTTCTGTTTAAATTTAATTATAAATATTTATAATGTTATGCTACTATTTGATTTCAATTTAAACAATTTTTATAATCGTATATGATATACATATATATTTCTTCATATTTTTTATGTGATACATATATCATGCAGAGTTGGAGTACTCAATTCGAACTTTAAAATTAATCCATTAATTACTAAATTTTTTAAGTTATTCAAGTTTTATTTTATAATTCAATTTGAATTTGAATTTTTTTAGTTGAGTGAAGTTGAGTTGAATTTTTTCGAATTAAGTAAAAAAATGATTTTTTTTAATCAAGTTTTGTTCACGTCTAACTAGGACTTGATGATTATGTTTGTCATCATCCCCAATTCCCTATTCATGTTGAAACTGTGGCTCATAGTTGGAGGGTAACTTGACTTTGTCTGGAGTTTTATGAAACAAGAGAAAATAATTTAAATTATAATGAAAATATAATTCAGGAAAAATGCAAATGTCATTCAATATTTATCAGAATTTGATTTATTCAAATTTTTAGTGTTAATATAATAACAAAACTGTTTTAATATTACTAAGAAATAGATTAAAAGAATATTGTTTACTTTTATAGACTTAAATCATTGTCATTATATATTTTTATATTAGTGTTGAAAATTTTTATTTTTTTCTTATAAATAATAATATTTTATTTGTCTTTTATTCGAATTGTTTAATGGACTTTTTGACTATTTCTTTATATGATTATTTTTAATTTTAAGCGACTAGTTTGTATACTTTTATGAAGAAAAATTTCTCCTCAGCTTCATATCAATAGTGCTGACAGATATACTTTTACGAAGAAAAAATCTATCATGATTCGAAATGATGATTGTGTGTGTTTAAGATATATATATATATATATTCTCCAATAAAGTGAAGTAATGATTCGTTGGATGATAAATAAAGATTTAGAATATAACTATGATTTGAAAACACCTTTAATGTACAATAAAGATAATACAATTTTAATATAGAAATTTAAGGGGGTGTGAAGAAAAATAAAATTAAAATATATTTTAATTTTTTAAATAATAATTTTTGGTAATATTCGTATCTCTATTTGAATCTAGACGGAATATTAATGAGACGTAGATTGAGAGAATCAGTCTAACATATTACTTTGATAATAGTTCAGAATACTTCGACAAACTGTCGTAAAAGTGATCTAACCATATAAAACTGTCGACCTTTCATGATCAAAAGGTACAGCATGATGAATATAATATAAAACGTCAAACTATCGTAACAATAAATGAAATTGAATCCTAAAAGCAAATGAATAATCGTGGCAGAGATGCGGACAAAAATAAACACATCAATAATATACAAAAAGAAAAACCAAAATGAAGAAGAATTTTATTTACATCTATAGCAAAAGAAAATTAAGCAAACAAGAAATAACATACGACGATATTAAATCGTCGCTTAAAATGATACTTTAAAAAAATCACTCTAGAAAGAAAACTATTTTTTATAGAAGTCGTTAATTTTATTACAAATATAAAATATACAAGTTACAATGAATTGACCACAACCGTAAACTAAACACATAATAAGAACATTTTTCAATAATCAATAACACAAGAAAAATAATCACTTAAGACCACACAAAAACCATATAACGAAAATGTTAAAAAAACGTAACTAAATAAACTCTAACAAAAGGTAGATACGAATATATTTGACTGTATCGATAAATGAATCACAAAAGAGGATCAAGCTATTGAAAAATCATTGACAAATCGCAAATCAGAGTCAAGCGACGTGAAAAACTATCACCGAATGTAAATAGTGTATACAAATCCAATATGATAGTCAAAAGCAAGGAAGATCAACGTGATAACAAATAAACGTCATCTTGATCAGTTGTGACAATGTCACATCTAACTTGAGAAAAATGATAAACGAAAACGATTATCAAACAAATGAAAACATGTTATAAATACATAAGAAAATGTGTTATAAAGACAGAGTTATTAAAAATTAAAAAAAAACAAATATATGATATAATAAAATAAATTAAAAAAAAGATAAATAACGACAGTCAATGATCAATACTATGACTGATATTGCCGTCGATCACAAAGATAAATAAGAAATTAGAAGGGACGATTAAAGAAGGAAAACTAGTTTTTCTTAATTTCGCAATAAAGTTTAACACATCATTAACTAATTATATTTTGCTATTTTAAAGTGTTCTGTTTAACATTACTTAATAAAACTCATTTTAAGGTAATGTTAAACCCACCATGGAACCTTCTGTTTGGCAAATATGGAAATGCCACAATGAATTGATTGTTCGTAACACATATTCCTCATCCGATGCTATTTCTCAACGTGGTCCAATCGCTTCCATGGATGCCCACCTATTGCTCACCCCAGGCCCCAACTGTTCCTTCCTATCTCCAATGGCACAAGCCCTCATTAGGCTGTGCTATCGTCTTAATACTGATGCATCAATCGACCCTTGCACCATTTCAGGCACCACTGGCGGGGTTATTAGAGACATCGAAGGTTATCCGTGTTTGAGGTTGTGGGTATCTCATCAGTTGAGTTTCCATTCTCCTACATTTCTGTGAACGAGATTGGGCTACCGATATCACTTGGATACCCCGCGAATACAACATGGTCACTGATCGTATAGCCACCAAATCCTATTGCATCCTAAATCTTGTCTATCGATTTATCACCGCCTGACATCCAAGAACTTCTAACTCAGGGCATTACTGGCCCCCTTATTGTTTAATCCCATGGCTCAGGCCTCTTCTTGATTAAAAAAAAAAGTATCGTTGAACCGAACCTCAATGTGATTTTGTCTCGAGTAAAAATTAATTGATTTTCCTTGTAATGGGTAACGTAACTTTCGAGCAAGGAGTAAGTTTTTCATTTTATTCCCCTACCTTTATATTTATTTGTTCGGAATTCCCTTAATTCACACACATAAAAGGAAAAACGCACTCTAAAACTGAATAAATTTGAAAACGCTGTGTTATTTGATTCTCTGTGTTTGTTCATCGAAGGAGCTTAAGAGAGTTATTGGGGGAGTGATATCCGATGTACGCAGAGAGGAAAACTTGTTATTGGCCCCAGGATGTTTATATTTTAGTTTCGACCCACTTAAACAACTTTAAGCTAACAACTTTAAGCTAACAACTTTGAATCAAAGGTATCAGTAACAGCATGAGATAAAAATGATGTGAAGAGGGAAAGAAAGTTGTTGCATGTGAGAATTGCAGGAAGGTTTAAGGGGAAGAGACAGTAATAGCCAAAGGGAAATATAAGGACAAATACAAGAGAAAGTTGCTGCAAAAGGAGAAATTCAACAAAGTTGAAAGCTCGTTGAAAGTTAAATACAATGAGGAACCAGACAAGTGGGAAGAACATAGAAAGTTGCTCAACAAAAAGTATGCATGTAAGGGTGTAAATAATCCAAGCTTAAACAAACAAACAAAAAAAACTATAGTTGTGTTTATTTATTTATTTTAGGAGGTGTTCATGTTCAGTTCATGTTAGTTTAAATTTTTTATATCGTGTTCATATTCATTTGTTTATTTTTGAAGGTGTTTATATTCAGTTCATTTAATATTCGCCAATATGTTCATTTAAAGTTCGCAAACATAGTCATTTAACGTACAAAAACATATTTATATGTTGCACCATTAGTCCTTAATTTCCTTAGGCTTAACAATTTTGAACTCTAAAGTTCAATGTGTTCAATTTAGTCTCTATTTTTACCAATATTTAAAATGTAAATAAATAAAAAGGCGAATCAGATCAACAAATTTATAAACAAGTCAACAAACCAACTTGTTCGTGAACATACACGAACCAAACGCTCTATTCATTTAGATTCCTATATGCATGCATGCAATTATCGAGAAAGATAAATGTATGCATGCATCGCATATAAATTCTCCCAATAAAAGCACTAAAGAAAATCAAACACAACAAAAGAATAACTGGGCAAATAATGAAATTCAAATTAAATTATGATTATAGATTGTGGAAAGGCTCATATCAAAACCTCTAACAAGTAGAAGGCACTAATGCATACAAGAAAATAACCCAATGACAGCCAATGTTCCCCAACTTGAAAAACCTACTGATAACCCCCAAAAGAAGCATCAGAAACTATTGTAATATCAACATTTAATTTAAAAACTTCCCAATTATTCAAAAGCCCACTGGTTCTCCCTCCTAACCTCCTCCTCTTCCTCAGGGGTGAAATCGTTTTTGATGTTGAAGGTCTTGCGAATCTCCTCCGGCGTCTTCCCCTTTATCATGTCAGCCACAGTTTGGCAGGTCAAGTCCAACAAGCTCTTGATATTCAGATAGTTCGCAGCCTGCAAATCCCAATATCAAAATATTAAAAGGTTTAGTACAAGGATAGAAAGTAAACCCAAAAAATAAGAAAGTATTTATCAAGATCAACAAGCCATTGTTATACGAACGTGGATCTTCTGGTACAAAGAACAAAAATTAAAACGCAAATAGCTACTTAAGTGAAACTTAACTCTATTGGGTAGTCTGCGTTTTTACAACTTATATTACATAATTCTAAATAAAAAATAAATAAATTTTGAAGCTTTTGAATGATTTGTTTTACTGGATAAGATTATAATACAGGAATAAACCATATGTTAATGAAATCTTTAGCCTTTCTGAATTCGATTGTTAGTGTTCCCTAATTGGATCGTGAGAATCAATTCGAAAATCGCTAGAGAAATCATGATTTCTGGTAATAGAGCAATAAATAGGACAATTAAACCCAACAGCCCTAAAATTAACAGCAATGTGAATACCGAATGCATTATTTAGGCATCAACAAGAACAAGAGAAAGTGAAAAGAGGTGAAACTAACCAAGATGAGGTCAAAGAGGGTATTTTGGTCAACCCCGACAAAATCGGCATCCCAAGCCTTGATTTCATCCTCGGTATTCTTTTCCTTGGTGGCGGCATCCACGTGCTTCTTGCAGTACTCAAGGACCTTAGACAAGATCTTGCTGGTGACGTTGGGGATGGGGATCTCGTTGCCAGCGCAGTCGTCCTCGATCATGTGCTTGATCGTCTGCGACTCAACCGCCACCGCTTCCTCCACCTCGAAGGCCTCGCCGTCGGAGCTCCTCAACATTATCTTCTTTGATGTCGACGCCATTATTTCTCCTAAAGTTTCCTTCACTGGCGGTGATAGAAACCCTAACCGAATAGAAGGCGGAGAGAAAACAAATTACAGAGACAGCCGAAAAACCTAATTAGAACAATGATTTAACTACGATTGAAAGTGTGGGTATTTATAGAAGGACTCGTGGTGCTGTACGGTGTCGTTTCGGAGATCAATTTGAAAAGGGTTCCGATGTTTCTGTTCGTTTCGGATTTTATTCAAGTGTTTAACTTAAAGTAAGATAATCTTAAAATTCCCTTTTAAAAAGCAAATTGAATAATTAGGCATTAACATCCAGATGTGGAGCAGCATGGATCAAGTATTAAAAGAGTATCCAAAAAAAAAGGAGAAAATATACAGTATATTACACCCGAATCAATAAATAATCAATAATTGAATTCAAATTAAAATCAAATTTATAATAAAACATAATTTACTTTTCAAAAAATATTTTATTATAAAAAAACATCTTTTTAGTTTCATTTCACCCCTTTTCACTCTCTCTCTCCTCTCGTAAATTTAGTAACTTTCTCTATTCTAAAATTCTTTGAATCTTGATCAGTATTGATCTCTACTTATTATCATTATTGGTTTTTCTTGAAGTTTAAAATTTTTCAATAATCTATTTTAAGCTTTTTAATTTTAAATGCAACATATGTACTGATTCTAATCTATTTTAATCTATTTTAAATGCAATATTTTTTAGTAACTTTCTCTATTTTAATCTATTTTAAATGAAATATTTTTTTTGCGAATTAAAATAAAATTACATTATATCCATCAACAGTAAGAGATCTATTTATTATTGAGACCGTCAAAAATAACCTCCAGTTATCAAAAGTCATCATACTGAAAAAAATCTTTTTTTTCTTTATTCTTTATTTTTTCTTTTTGGAATTTTGATTCTTTTTCTAACTCTCTTCTGATTTGTTTTATATTTTTTTTTTAATTTAGGTTTCAAATGTTGATGTTGGATTGGATAAAATTTTCATCTTCATTTTCCGGGTTAATGGTTCAAGGCGGTTGAGACTCCTACGAAATTAGACTGAGTCGAATGTTGAATGAAAATATAATTTTTTTAAATCAAATCAGGATGATTAAACATGATCCTACTCGACCCTTGCCTATCTCTAAAAATAATAAATATATAAGATCATATTTGTTACGACTAACGTGAATAATACAGCACATTGATTAATTTTAAATTAACTCTATCAATAATAAGTCAACATTCCTTTAGAGGAGTGATTAAATTTTGAAGTAAAAGTTGATTTAAATTCGATATTGATCTGAAACCGAAATATTTAAAAAGTTGCGTATAGAATTTAAAGCTGTATAATGGACAGAGATCGATTGATCCATGAGTGCAAATTCATTTGGCCGACGAAATTATAGAACTGTTCTTTTAAACATGCAAGACAGCAAACTGTACGTCCATAAAAGAGTACCTTTCACAGGCAACACGTGCACGGTAATTGCAGTAGTCATTCTAACATGAACTAAACTTAGTGTAAACCCGTACGTCATGTTTATAGAAGACTCTACTCGGACCGCGACTGGGGTCAACCGTTGGTGCTCATAGCTTCGAAACCGGTAAACCTGAGGCAAAAAAACATGATTGATCGATGGAGATGAAGTAATAGACTCATCACCAGCAATGCTTGGAGAGTGATAATGTTTGAAAAATGGATAATTACCTAATGCTTTCGTATTGACGATGCTTGGACATGCTGCAGGAGGTGGAGCGTTCTCATTCAAGAACGGTTCGACTTGGTTCGGATTACCCCAAACTGGATATCCTTTGATCTTGCCCTGTAATGCGGATAGAGGAAGTGTGCAATGCTTAGAACGGCAGTTATCGCAGATCAGATTCTAATATTTTAGATCCTTTTTCCGAATGAAATGATAATCATATCCGAACTTGAATAAAATGAGGAGCAAGTTATTACCAAGACGTTTAGAGCAGCCAACGTTGCCATTCCCTCACGAGTCCACTGCATAAGCAAGCAGAAAAAGAAATTTACAATCCGATAAGCAACTCCAACCCGATATGTGAATCCTGGCAAACATTACCTTCGAAGCAGAAGCAATGTGTGGCACGACGACAGCGTTCTTCATCTCAGCAAGCCCGGGTTTCATGAAAGGTTCATCCTAATGCAACACCATTAATGAACAATTTATGTACTAACCTGAGGGTGGTTTTCATGTGGTAGGTTGATTTGAGATTCAAAAGTTTGAAGCTCACCTCAAAGACATCGAGACCAACTCGGAACATAGGATTTTGCTTCAGATGTTCAACAAGAGCTACTTCATCTACCACCGGGCCCCTACTACAGTTTACAAGGATTGCTTCCTGCAAAAATATAATCCAATTCATAGTTCCTTCAGAAAAAACATATTTTTAAAGTTAAGGACAGAGAAACTCTTAACCACCTTCTTCATTGTTGCAAGACTTTCTTTGTTAATCAAATGGTAGGTTGTTTTATCCAAGACCGGGTGAAGACTTATCTACAAAAGGAACCAATAGCAACCCCTCTTAATTTGCAGCAAAATTGAAACCTGAATTTGGAGACAACATTTAAAGTTCTAAGCTATGATATGCCTACCACATCTGCCTCCCGAAGCACCTCATCCATACTTGATGCTCTTTTCCAGTAAACAGGTTGCTCTCCATTGCTTTTCAAGAACTCGCCATAAGCTGCAATGAGGAAAAATATAAGCATCATAACATAAGAATCGAAAACTCAGCAGCTGGAGCAAAATGTTCCAAGGCATACCTGTGACAAACTTCTCTAGCCGCGTTGCTTGGTAAAGATCATAGTAAATCAAGTTCATTTTGAACCCTTCAACCTATTATAAGATAGGAAAACAAAATGACTCCCATTAATGCAGAAAAGTAAGACCAAAAGTATACGATGACATGAAAAAGACGCTCTTCATAACACTAAATATTATGTCGTACGTTGCTTAGGAGCTAGTATTTTTCAAAACATCAAAACCTGCTTCAAAAACCACACTGACCCCAATAATCATTTCAATCTATACTTGAGGCTACTAAGATCAATGTGTGTTCCAACAATTTTAGATGAATCATCTATTCTAATCGTCTGGTTCATAATTTAGTTAGTAAGAGATTACCATCATTCTGGCATATGCAGATCCGATACGACCAGCTCCAATTACACCAACTGTCTGTCCTTTAAGCAAGTTTCCCACGAACCTGCAAGAGAAATAAGTGGAATTGGACAAGCAAATGTAAATGACGTTTCGATTTGATCACATATGCTATAGACATTAAATAAAATCGAAATATAAGGTATATATAGTGGAAATACAGATGAGGAAGCCATCCATCATATAAGCCGGCCCTCATGAACTCATCGGCTTCAACGATTCTTCTAGCAGCTGCCAAAGAAAGAGAAGCTGCTAGCTCTGCGGTTGTTTCTGTGAGTACCCCCTGCACCAAGTTAACAATAACATTAGCACAAAATTTGTACCCCAAAATTACTGAACAAACTTTGTAATTATTCTCCACGTGGTAAAAAGCTTCCATTAATGTTAAGAACAAGATAGGTGGATTAGCAAAATTACTGGAAGTTTATTTATTGTTTTAGCATTACAGTGCACACTACAGTCTCTGTCTCTATGACATATAATCGAACAGATTACCCTTAGCACTTATCAATGTTATGAAAACATACCCAAATATGATTAAACAAGCCTATTGAAAATCAGAATACAAAAGTGAACTTACAGGGGTATTGCCAACAGCAACACCACACTTGTTGGCAGCATTAACATCAACATTGTTGTAACCAACAGCCATGTTACTAAAAGCTTTGCCTCCGGCTCTGCTTAAGGCCGCGAATAAAGTGTCTCCCCAGTCTTCTGTTAACTGTCCAATCACCCCATCACACTTATTGCCAATCAAAGCAATGATATCCTCAACAGACAAGATTGTTTTCTTCTCCGTGCATATCTGAAAAAGGTTCATTAAGAATAGAGAAACAAGAAAGATTTCACAACGAAAACAGAGGATTTAGAGAAGAGAAGTGTATAAGTACTTCGACCCGGCAATCCTGTTCGATCAAGAGGTTGATCCATCGAGTTCCAGGCATGGGTTTTGTGCTGATGACTCTGTATTTCCCATTAGGATTCCACACTTCAATCGAAACTGGCTTTGCCATTGAAAAACAGTGTGTAACTATTGTGTGAACAAAAAGCAGAGCAGGAAACTGAGTTTTTTAAATACTATAAGTTCTTGCTTTTTATAGCGACGGTTCGGTGTGGTGAGGAGCGCTGGTTAAAATGGTCCGCAATTGGATCATTGGTGAAATCGAGAGATTTGTTGAGTCTGAATCGTTGACGTTGGGTGATAATCATGAAGATCAAGATAAGGTTGTTGTTTTGTGGAACATGTGATTTTGATCCTTTTGGATATACTGATGGATTGGTTGAAGGCTACGGTGAGTTTGGGATGATGCTTTGGTTTTGTGGTATAAGTTCATTGCTGACATGTCATTTGCTCAGGGATGACACGTAGGAGAAGCCTTTATCCATTCTCACAAATGACGGAAATAGCCTTTAATTTAGTTCTTACACATTTCAATATTAAATTTATATAAAATAATAAATTTAATTTTTAAGAATAACATTTCTTTTTCAGTTTAATTTTTATTTTTTAACTAAATGAATATTAAATATTGTAAAATTTAGGATTAGAGTCATTTGAATTGCGTGAAGAATAGTTTGATGCACGATCATTAGTTGTCTGTGTGATGATATTGGTGCACTGGCCAGCTTAATCCGATTAATGGTCAGTTAATTAAGCTTGCAACTTCGATTATTTGGACTCCTTTTTTTTATAATGTTGTCGGGTCTTAATAGTTAGTTGTTGTGTTAGATAATTAAAGGGTTTAAATTATGATTATGATTATAAATGAATAAAAGATTTGTTGAACCAATATTTGATTTAAATATAATATGAATTGTTGAATAATTTATCTTGTTAAAATTTTTATTTTACGATAATATGAAAATTTATCATAAAATGTTTTCAAGTGATTTTTAATTGTAAAAAATAATCCTAAATGATCCTGAGTTATTGTATTATTTATAAATATCTTTTAAAGCTAAAAAATATTCGATTTTATCAAAAACCACTCAGTCTCGAAATCAATAGTCCAGTACTGGTATCAACATTCCAGAATATATTTTCGGTATCATTATCAAGATCTTGTTTCGATGCCGAGGTGTGTGTATGGATACTCACTAAACGGTATCGATACCGAAGGCTCCAATGGCTATATTTTTTAACATTTGGATGCATGATGTCGATATATGTTACTAGGTATCAATACCAAAATTGCAGGTGACCGTTTAATGCTCAAAATTAATGGTTTCAATGTATTTTATCAACCGCCAACGGCCACAAACGACTATAAATGTATTAGATGACATAAAAGGAACCAAGAATCAAATGAAAATCAACAAGAAACAATATTGAAAGATCATACTAACATCAAAAGAATTTTAGCGTTTATTTTGTCATGTTCTCTGTAACACACTTGTTGAACTCATTGTCTATATTGTTCAAGCTTGATTTGGGTGAGAGTTAGATTATGCAAGCATATTTATGTAGTGAGGTTTTCTCTTTTATTTGCTTCATTTGTAATTACTCTTTAGGAGAGAGTATAATTCAAGGTTTTGGAATATAAATCTTGAAGTGTTTGTAAGGTTACACATTGTCCTTAAAAGTAAACAAATCTAGTGTATTTGAGAAATTCTTAGTGTGAATGTTAAGTTAGTGGATGTAGACTTAGTTTAGAAGTCGAACAGCTCTAAATTATTGTACTGATCCTTTATTTTTCGGTTGCTTCCACACCAAAATTTTAAAAGTCAATTCATCTCCCTATTAACGTATTTCGGGTGACCAAAAAAGCTAACAGTATAGATAATAATTTGATTTTTGTTTATTTATATATATGATTTTGATTTATTTGTGCTTATTTATCAATTTAAAGAAAATGAATATGCACAATTTTTTTATTATTAAACGAGTTTTTTTGATAAATTTTAAATCTAATCATATCTAGAGGGGAGGGGGAGAAGATTCTAGAGGAAGAAATGAGAGTGCTCTTTGTAAGTCTCAAACTCATTATTTAAGAGAATATAAGGGAACAAAGATAAGTAACTTAACCAACCGATTAAATGTACATACCCTTAACAAGTTAAACGTGAATTAGACATTTTCAATTTATTTAAAAAAAGTTTAAAGTTTTCTTTGCCCCTTAAAAATATATTATTTTTATTGATTTGTCTCTTAAATTTTTAAGATATTTTGTCTCTTAACTTCAAAACTTATCTTCATTTTCACGTTTTTCTTAATTTCGTCAGAAAAAAAATGTTAATTTTTTTTAATATGTTTTGTACCTTAACTTCAAAACTTATCTTTATTCTCACATTTTTTTTTTAATTTCGTAAGAAACAAATGGAACAATCAGAATGTATCATGCAGAAATTTTGACTAGTTAACTTTAATAAAAAAGATTGATGGTACGTTAAGTCTTTTAAATTTTAGTTTTATTCAATTTAGTTTTTAGAAATTTTATTTAATACGAAATTGACACTTCTAATAAAATTAATTTTATAATAATATAATATAATATATAATTAATTTTATTTTAAATGTATATTAATAATAATTTCAAAATAGATTAAATATAATTCATTTTAACATAAATATTATTTTTTCACATTATATAGTAGTTTTTGTGTTGGGCTTTGTAGCTGGGTATTGAATTTATCTCCGAAGAGATCCAGGTTTAATTTCCTTTAACTTGTACATTTATTTTACAATTTCCCTCCAATAGACGGATGATATGTACATATTTTTATTAGAAGAAATTAAGTAATTAACATATTAAATAAAATTATTATAAATAATATTATATTAAATTATAAAGATTAAAAATATTTAATGATCAATTTCTCATTAAATAAATCTTTTAGGGATTAGATTAAATAAAATATAAAAGTTTTAGTATGACACTTATCAATTTTTTTAAAATTGTTCAGTTAAAATTATCATGTGTCGTATTTTAATAAATCAATTATTTTAATAAAATTGTTCAGTTTTAGTACAATGGTATTGCATTTGTTTCTTAAGAATTTTCTCTAAAAAGATAGTATTCGCGCGGACGTGTCGAAGACACGTATTGTAACATCCCAAAATACGGGTTAGTGACTAAATCATAAAACTTCAGAGTTTGGTGATTTAAGTGGGATATTTGTATAGTCCGATGATTTGTTCAGAAATATTTCCTGAAAGTTTTTATTATCCAAAGAATTAAATGGCAAAATGGTTATTTAACCATTAAATGATTAATTTGTGTTATGTGGAGGATATATATGGGGAAAGGGGTAAGAAGAATATATCTTCTTCTCCTCTTTTTCTTCCAAACGAGAGAAAGCCATAGCAAATGTAAGGGTTTTCTGATTTGTTGGTTATTTGTTAAATTAAAGGTTAGGTTTTGATCATTAGATGATAACTAAGCTTAAGGAAAGCTTAAGTGTCTTATAATCAAAAGATGAAGTTATAAGAGATTTAAGAAAATGAGTTTTTATATGAAATCTTGAAATAGAGTTGATAAGTTGAATTTGAAGTTGGCTTGTCATCATGCTAATTAAGGAATATGAAGTGTTAGAATTGTATTCAGAACATATTGAAATTTGAGTATGATTCTTGAATTTCATATGAAGAATAGGATTTTGAAGTTATAGATGATTTTTATGGATATAAGTTGGTTTAAGTAATGGTAGTTGAGTTTAATGACATGATAGGGGTTTAAAATAGAAGAATTAAGTGAAATTTGATGATTTTCGGGCTTAAAATACAATTTGGGCATAGGGAACCGATACCCTATGAAGGGGAATCGATTCCCCTTCTAGAACGATAAAATTTCCAGTATGTCCAGGGGGTATCGATTCCCCCTGGGGGGTATCGGTTCTCCCCTAAAGGAAAAATGAAATTGGGTTCAAGAATCTTACTTAAGTTGTTAACATCAAGTTTAAGGTTTAGGCTTCTGATAGTTGTTTTGAAATGTTATATTTATAGATATTGAGCCTAAACCAAGTTCCGGAATAATCAAAGGATTATAATCGAATCAAAGCAGGCTAAGGTGAGTGCAATTTTAATTGTATTATATTATTGAACATTGGCTTGCGATGAGTAGTGATGAGTTACTATGGTAAAAAGTGACTCTTAAATGTTAATTGATTTGTGATTCTTATATATGCATGAATACATGAAATGGGTATAGGTTATTATATAGTATATGATATGCATAGACATAAGAGCATGAAACATAAGATATATGATATGATATACATGATTATATGCATATGTGATATATGCTATGAGACATGATCAATGTGAAATGAGATAAGTTATGTGAATATATGAAATGATATATGAATATGCAATACATGATACATGTGATATGATATGAAATACATGGTTACACATACATGTGGTATGTGACAGAAAAGAAAGAACAAGTGATGAGAAAAGTATTCATCGTAAATGCCCATAGTATATGAAACGAGAGCTATAGGTATAGTTGGCATGCCAAGAGTCGAGGGTATTGTAGTCTTTCGAGACGTAGTCCTTCGGGACGTAGTGGTCCTATGGGACATATATAGCAGTCATTCGGGACGAATACTGAACAAATGTTCGGTGCCCATGAGGAATTTATACGAGCTGTGGTGACAGCATTGGTGCACAACCTCAAATATACTCACATACCTCTATTCAATAATATACATGGGCAACAACAACGACAATTGAAATATAAATTAAAGTGAAAGTGATTCATAAAGGTAAGTTTCATGTGTGCATGACTTGGTATATATGTCATAGGAAAATATCCATGCATATTGAAATATCATGATCAAATGGTAAGAAGCATATCATGAAACTATTGTTACATGTTTATTTATTGCCTCACTAAGTCTATGACTTAGCGTGTAAGTGATTTACACGTAGGTACCAAGAAACGTGAAGAGCAAGAATAGAAGTGGCAAGGATAGTATTTTTACTAGAAGATCAGATCAGAAGTAATCGACAAAGTATGTATTTTGTTGTGTATAGAGTGTTGGCATGTAATAAGTCGTTAATTATGAGCACTCTGATCGAGTTTGTATTTTGTAGTCTCTTCTATG